ATGGCACTGCTGCCGCCAGCTGCCTCCTCCCCCTTGCTCCCCTGTTGCGACAGGGAGTGAGGAAAGCCCTTGTGAAACCGGAGCGGAGAGTTTCACAGCCGGGTGTTGTCGCTAGCGACCTCGCCCCAGGGCCGCCCTCGGAATCGGGGGCAGGGGGGAGGGGTGGGTTCTTCCAGGGGCCCCTCCAGAACCCAAATTCTGCCTCCTCGGCGCGAGTTCCGCTTTGCGGGCTGTGCTGAGGACCCCCCATGTGCCCTTCCGACCGCAGGCCGAGTGTGGAATTTCCCCCACGCTAGAAGCAGGGAAACTGAGGCAGGGCTGCAGTGGCTGGCCCACGGGTGGCAGCAGGAGCTGGTGCTGGCTTGGAGCCAAATCCCCAGCTCCGCTCTCAGCACGATGCTCGTGGCCCCTGGTGCGGACAGAACCAAGTTCTCTTGGGCGTCCGGCCCTGCTGTGGGTGCTGCTCTCGCTCTGGCTAATCTTCCCTCTCCTGGCTCCTGCATCTCCAAGGCCGACCCTGCCCTGTTCTTAGGGCCGGTACAGATGAGTGGGGCCGGGTGGCCCCCTGTCCTGGAAACCACACGCCAGCGGCTGAGCGCCCGGCCCCTCGGAGCCCAGAGCGATCTCTCGGCTGTGCCAGGCTGACCCCATCCGGGGCGTGGAGCGGGGGCGGCGCTGGGGTCCTGCTGGAGGGCTACGTGCCCGCAGGAAGAGGAGTGCTGCTCGGGAGGGAGGCGTCCCTGCCCAGGCGGAGCTGAGGCAGATCCCCCTCCTCGCGCTGCCTCGGCGGGGCACGGGCTGTGCCAGGCGCACGGAAGGCATTTGTGTTGGTCGAGCCGGGGTGAAAAGCGACGTTCCCGCTGCGTGCACCCCAGTCGGCTCCGGGGTGCAGGCCACAAGCAGCCCCCAAAGCCAGAGGAGGGGAACGTTCCCCCAAGGAGACTGCCAAGTCCCCAGGGACCTTCCCAGCCATGAGCTGCATCGGCGAGTCCTGGCGGGATCTGGCCCCGTAGCCTCAGGGAGCTGGCTGGCGTTGTTGGTATCTAATGTAACTCGGGAGCTAAGGTCACCTGCTGCCGGGGGCCGGCTCCCCCCTCACAGATAA